CTATCTCTCTCCTCTCTCCTCTCTCTTCTCTTTCTTTATATATATGTATATATATATATATATATTCTTCTCTCTCTTTCTGTCTCTCCTTCTCTCTCTCTTCTCTCTCTCTCTCTTTCTATATATATGTGTGTGTGTGTGTGTGTATATATATCTTCTCTCTCTCTCCTCTCTTCTCTTTTTATATATACATATATATATACCTTCTTCTCTCTCTCCTCTCTCTTTCTGTCTCTCCTTTTCTCTCTCTATCTCTTCTTCTCTCTCTTCTTCTTCTCTCTCCCTATATCTCTCCTCTCTCTGTCTCTCCTCTCTCTCTCCTCTCTCTTCTCTTTCTCTCTCTCTATATGTATCTATATCTATCTATATATATATATCTTCTTCTCTCTCTCTTCTCTCTCTCTATATATATGTGTATATATATCTTCTCTCTCCTCTCTCTTTCTGTCTGTCCTTTTCTCTCTCTATCTCCTCTTCTCTCTCTCCTTTTCTATCTCTCTCTTCTTCTTCTCTCTACCTCTCTCCTCTCTTTTTCTCTCTCTCTCCTCTCTCTCTCTTTATATATGTGTATATATATATATATCTTCTCTCTCTCCTCTCTCTCTTTCTGTGTCTCTATATATATATATGTATATTATATATATATATATATCTTTTTCTCTCTCTCCTCTCCCTGTCTCTCCCTCTCTCTCTCTTCTCTCTCTCTCTCTCTCTATATATATATCTTCTCTCTCTCTCCTCTTTCTATCTCTCCTTTTCTCTTTCTCTATCTCTTCTCTCTCTTTCTCTTCTTTTCTCTCTCTTCTTCTTCTCTCTCTCTCTCCTCTCTCCTCTCTTTATGTATATATATATATATCTTCTCTCTCTCTTTCTGTCTCTCTCTCTATTTCTTCTCTCTCTTGCTCTCTCTCTCTCCTCTTCTCTCCTCTTTTTCTCTCTCTGCCATATACCTCTCAGCTTCTCAGCCTTCCATTTATCGATTAAGGAGGTAAAAATAACTCTGAGTGAGGCAGGGTCAGAAGCCTGCTCCAGCAGGCCTGTTGGAAAGAGCTGGGGTGAGATCATCTCAGAGTGTGGGGAGTTGGGGGTGGGGAGAAGGGAACACAGTAAAGATCAGAGAAGAACTGAGAGAAGAGGTGGGGGGAGGGGTGGAGAATGGAGAGATTTGGGAGAGGAAGTCCTTAGAGAACATGTTGTTGTTGTTGTTCAATTGTGTCTGCCTCTTCATGACCCATTTAGGGTTTTCTTGGCAGAGACACTGGAGTAGTTTAATTTCTTCTCCAGCTTATCTTACAGATGAGGAAACTGAGGCAGACCAAGGTTAGATGACTTGCCCAGGGCCACCCAGCTAGTAAGTATCTAAGGCTGGATTTGAACTCAGGTCTTCCTGACTCTAGGCCTGGCACTCTATCCACTGCACTAGCAACTGCACTATTTCCACTAGCCCCCCTTGTCTCCAAGATGATTTAATCCAGGGGTGGGGAACCTGCAGCCTCGGGGCCCCATATGGCCCCTTTAGGTCCTCAAGTGTGGCCCTTTGGCTGAATCCAAACTCAGTCAAAGGGCTGCGCTTGAGGACCTAGAGGGTCACAGCAGCCCCAAGGCTGTAGGTTCCCCACCTCTGGTCTAGTCCAATACACCCATCTAATACATGAGGTCATGTCTGGAAAAGTGAAAGGCCTCATCCAAGTGAACTGAGCTGGGATGCCAATCCTACTGATTGTTCCACATGACCGCTGGCCCTTGTAGACACAGATGAAGGGGGCAAGGTAATCTTTGAGTCCTGGAGGAGGATGGGGACGGATAAGTGAAGATGCCAGACTTGGCCTGCGAACATCACTTCCCACCGCCCCATCTCCGGCCTTGGGCTCCATAGTGCGTGGCTTAGCCCGTCCGCTCTACAGCCTGTCCCCTGAGCTCTACTCAGTTGTGTTGAGAGACAGCTTCTAAGGTATCCAAGACCCAAGGGACCCTCATCTGGGACCAGGCCTACCACAAGCAGAGAGCTGTGGGGAGCATCCCAGGTGGGCACTAGAGTTCAGCTAGAGGTCACACCTGAGCCAAGGTTTAAAGAATCTTAAACATCTTCTAGCTACTTTTTTTTTTTTTTGAGGCATATGAACATTGGTTTCTTGCACCTATTAAGCATATACTCAGTGCATCCGGTACAGTGTTAGGTACTGAGGGAGATGCAAATATATATGTGTATAAAGTGCATGTATATGTACACTTACATATTGTAATGTATCTGTATCTATGTAATGTAGTATATCTATCTGTGTATACGTATATGTACATATTTGTAAAATGTAAGGGTTACTACACTCAATAAGATTACAATACATAGGAGAAAATAAGTACAACATAATGTAAGCAAAGTCTATCAAAGTATTGTGGAAAAAGAAACATAGCGGGAAGAACAGGAAGGACAATGGACTTGCAATCAAAAGACCTGGTTTTGAATCCCAGGTCTGACCCTTAACTAGCATTTATCCTCTCAGGGTCTCAGCTTTCTCAGTTGTGTAAGTAGGGAATTGGGCAAGATGATTTCCAAGGCCCTTTCTAGCTTTGACCTTCTCTCTTTTTTTTTTTTTTTTGGTGAGTCAATCGGGGTTAAGTGACTTGCCCAGGGTCACACAGCTAGTAAGTGTTAAGTGTCTGAGGCTGGATTTGAACTCAGATCCTCCTGACTCCAGGGTCAGTGCTCTATCTACTGTGTCACTTAGCCGCCCCATCATCAATTCTTGATTGCAGAGGCATCTAGGTGGTGCAGAGGATAGTGGGGACGACCTGAGTACAAAACACATACTAGTTGTGTGACCCTGGACAAGTCACTTAACCTCTGTCTACCTGAATTTCCTCATCTGTAAAATGGTTGTTGAGATGATAAAATAATATTCCCAAAACGCTTTGCAAATGTTAAAGTTATGAAAACTAGCTATGATTATGAAATCATTCTTTCTATAAGGGCCAGCCCTGGCACTGCCTCTTCAGGAAGCCTTCTTCCCCAGTGCCCCCAGATGGAGCGTCTTCTGCCTCCTCAATTTTCTTAAAACACTTTGGCTCAACTTTTCCTCGACTCCTTAGCACTTTTCACCTTTCTTCACAATTGTTTGCATACACAGCTTATTGCTTCTTTTAGACTGTTAGCTCCTAGGAAGCAGACCTTATTTGTCTTTTGTTCCTCATGGCAAGAAGTGGGGAGGCAGTATAGTATGGTGGCAAGAACGCTGCACTTGGAGTCAGAGGCCATGAGTTCAAATCCTGTTGCCCCTTACTACCTGAGTGACCTTGAGCAAGACCCTTATTAGGACTCTAAGGCCTGTTTCTTCCCCTGAAAAGATGAGGGGGTTGGACTAGATGACCTCTAAATTCCTTCCTAAATTTAAGATCCTTTGACATCCCAGCTGTGTTACATGCAACCTCTGTGCCACTGGGCAAGTCACTTCAATTTCCTTGGCCTCAGTTTCTTTGTCTGTAAAAATCTGATCAGACTAAGTGATCCCCAAGATCCCTTCCAGCTTGAAGCTGGGCCTAGCATATAGTAAAATCAATCATTTCCAGAACTTTCTGGAAAACATCCAGAATAGGTGGCTCTAGGTGGCATTGACTGGCTCATTCTTCTTGATTTCTTTTTCTTCTTTCCTTCCTCCCTTCCTTCTTTCCTTCCTCCCTTCCTCTATTTCTATATCTCTCCCTCCTTCCTTCCTGCCTTTCCTTTTTTCCTCCCGTCCTCCCTCTCCTTTTTCTTTCTTCCTTCCTTTCTTCATTCCTTTCTTTCTCCCTCCTTTCCTTCCTTCCTTTCCTTCCTTCCTTTCTCTTCTTCTTTTCTTCCTTCCTTCCTTCTCAGAGAGGAGGGGAAGGATAGGATTAACGTAGCACCAAAGACTGACCCCTTGCTTTTCAGTTGGGTGATATGAATGAGAAATGGTAAGGGCCACTGTCTGCTACAATCCAGAATTACAATCCTTCTAAAATCCTGGGTATCCTCAGTTATTCTTTCTCTCCCATGTGACCCCGATCAGCACACTGTGATTTTCACAGCCCATCAATCTCTCCACCAGGTGGCGATGGCTTTCCAGGTATGACTAATTTCCTCATGAGTGCCTTGAGGCGCTGAGAAACCCTTACAGACTAAGCTGTCTTACCTTTTTCAGTGGCCTCCTCTCTCAGCTGGGCTAATACCCCCACTCCTAGGGATTGAGTTGTCATTTCCTGACAATATACACAGGTACAAACACATACATACACTCCAATAATAATTTCCCTCTCTCTCTTCTTTCTCCCCAGAACTGACCCGTGACCTGGAAACCAAAGAGTCACAGTCAGACCAACAAGGTAAGGTAGTCCCTAAGAAGATAGCCAAAGGGGTGAGGAGAAATAAAAAGACTCAATCAAATCATTCAACAAACATTTATTAAGAGCCTACTATGTGCCAGGCTCTATGCAATGTACTGGAGATAGGTAGAAAGACAAAAGTGAAACAGTTCTCACACTCCAGAAGCTAACCTTCTATTGGGGAGACAGCATGTATGTAAGTATTGACTGAATAGGTTCAGAATAAATTGAAGGCAATTTCAGGGGGGGTCACTTTGCGGGGGGGGGGGGGGGGCATTAGGGTTAGTGGGTAGGGGATTCAAGAAAATCCTCATAAATAAAGTGGCCTTTGGTCTGAGTTTTGAAAGAAAATGAAGATTTTAAGAGGCACCAGTGAAGAGATAATACAGTCCAGGCCTGGATTAAGTGGATAAAGAACGGTACAAGCTTACAGAGGTTGTGGAATGTTCTCTGTGAGAAAGAACAAGAAAGTGTGTAAAGGGTAATGAGATACAATAAGCTTGGGAAGGTATCCTGGGAGCAAAACGTAAAGAGCTTCAAATACCAAACAGGAGCTTGGATTTGAAGCTAGAGGCAGTCTGCACTTTAGGAACTGACTTTGGCAACTATGTAAAGGATGGATTGGAGTACGAAGCTACTCTGTTGTTGTTGAGTTGTTTTCAGCTATGTCCCACGCTCCACCACCCTATTTGGAGTTTTCCTTGACAGAGAAACTGGAGTGGTTTGCCATTTTCTTCTCCAGCTCATTTGACACATGAGGAAACTGAGGCAAACAGGGTGAAGTGACTTGCTCAGGGTCACCCAGCCAATAAATGTTTGAGGTTGGATTTGAACTCATGTCCTCCTGACTCCAGGCCCAGCACTCTATCTACTGTGCCACTAACTGCCCAAGAAGTTACTGTAGCAATCCAAATGAGAGGTGATAAGGTCCTGGTGGTGACTGTGTGAGTGGAAAGAAAGGGATGGATATGAGAAATGTTATGGAGATACAATCCAGATGACTCAGCACCTGATTGGAGATATATGGGGTGAGGAAGAGGAAGGACTAAGGGTGACACCAAGGTTTTGAACCTGAGTAACTAGAAGCATTGTGGTACCCTCAACAGAGATAAGGAAGTCACAGGAGGATTAGATTGGGTTGGAAGAAGAGGGGAAGATAATGACATATTAAGTTTAAGATACACATGTTGGAAATGTCCAATAAGCAATTGGTAATGTGGGACTGGAACTCAGGAGAAATACCCAGGTTGGATATAAAAAGCTGGGTACCATCTTTGTAGAGACAATAGTTGAGCCCAGGAGAGCTAATGAGGTCACCAAGAAAGAGAATGTAGAAAGAGAAGAGAGTCCAGGATAGAGCTTCGGGGGACACCAAGACCCTTAAGGAAGTCACACCTGCCACCATCTCCCCTAGACAGGAGCAAGAATGCTGACCTGGGGGAGGGGACAAGTCACAGTCCAGCACCTTTCTTGATCCATTTCTTTCAAAATTCCCTTTAGAAATGTGTTGTTCTTAATGTTCTTAAAGGCATCAAATATTATATAGGGCATTATATAGAACAAGCAGTCAAGTGAATACATAAACATTTTCCTTTTTCTCTAGATGTTTTGGCATCTAGTAAAGAATCTGAATGGAAGGGCTGGGGGAGGAGGGAGGGGAAATTGTCCGGGATTTCCTTTACCATATTTGTTCCTCAGGTGTTGGCCAAAACTTCTCCTTTAGAAATCTGGCCAAACAGAAATCCCATCCTAATGGAATTAGTTTTATTGCTAAAATATTCTCAATTTACAAAAGAATTCACAGAGCAGTCACCCTTCTGTAAAGCCAGAGATAGTTAAGTCATTGTTTATAAGCTAGGTATTTAATTGCCCAACAGGAAACCTTGGGGTTGAGAGTAGCTTTGCATTATAAAAAATAATGGGAGGGATGGGGGCTGGGTTCCTTGAAACCTGGTCTCCCAGGTTTACAGATTTTTATCTGTAGGCTAGGGTTCTAAGTTTCCTCCTCAGAAGAATTAGAGGTTGAGGGAAGAACTCCCATTGCGTAGAGATTGGGACTTGATGGGCAATTCCTTTGATTTGTTGTTAATTTGTTGATGATGATGATGATGATGATGATGATGATGATTTGTTGCTGCTCAGTCCTTTCAACTGTGTCTGACTCTTCCTGACCCCATTTGGGGTTTTCTTGACAAAGATACTGGAGTAGTTTGCCATTTCCTTCTCCAACTCATTTTACAGATAAGGAAATTGAAGACAGGTGAAGCAACTTGCCCAGGGTCACACAGCTAGTAAGTGTCTGAGGCCAGATTGGAACTCCCGAAGATGACTGAAAGTCACAACTGAAAAAATTACTGAACAACAAATTGGGTAGGGATAGGGACTGAATGGGCGATTCCTTTGAATTAGGGAAATGCCAGATGAAGAAACACTTTCTGTCAAAGCAAGTGGCACCTTTCTTGCAACTCTTTGACTCTGAGAATTGGCAGACCACCGAGAAGTTAAGTGATATGTCCAGGTTCACACAGCCAGGAAATTGGAGGCAGGACAATTTAGCATTTATTAAGTGCCTGCTGTGTGCCAGGCACTGTGCTACAGTAAGGAGAGTATGAAGCTCTGACATCATCATCAAGAGTCAGGAGGATATGGGTTTAAGTCTTGCTTCTGATACAGACTGTAGACTGCCTCTAGTTTCAAATACAAGCTCCTGTTTGGTATTTAAAGCTCTTTACATTTTGCTCCCAGGATACCTTCCCAAGCTTATTATGTCTTATTACCCCTGACTGTCTGCCTGCCCCTTCACTCCGAACTGCTCTAATACTAGGAGTTAGTTAACAGGGGTCTCCAGTCTGTCTTGATGAAAGAAAGATCAGGACAAGAAAATAAAGGATATGCACAAAGTGCTTTAAGGTTCGGGAAGTAGTTAACTTCCATCCCCTTGTTTGGGCCGCACAACAACCTTGTGAGGTAGATGCTGCAGGCATTATTATGCCCATTTTATGGGACATAAAGTGTCCCAGATGGACATAGAGAGGTTAAGCCAGAGGCCCAAAGTCACACCACTATTAAATGTCAGAGTCTACAATATATGCTCCTTATATGAATTGAGAGAACACATATCTAAGGATGTAGACACATATGAGGAATGAAAGGTATAAAGGTGGGGGCAGCTAGGTGATTCAGTGGATAGAGCACTGACTCTGGATTCAGGAGGACCTGAGGTCAAATCCGGCCTCAGACACATAACACTTAGTAGCTGTGTGACCCTGGGCAAGTCACTTAACCCCATTGCCTAGACAAAAATAAATAAAAATTTTTAAAAAACCTAAAAAAAAAAAAGAACGGTATAAGGGTGAAAGGGCATAGATAGGATGGAGAATGGTGTATTGGGGGTAGGCAGTGAGATGGGGAACTCAGAGCCAGAAGTCTGACCACATTCACAGGGGTCCCCTATCCTGTGCCTGCCTCTTGTCTAATTCCATGAGATGCTCCATCATGCTTAGCATACATTTAGCCTAGGGCATCTGAGGGTAAGAGCTTCTGACTGCTTCTCTCAGACTATTATTTCAGGAAAGCCCCAAACACTCTTCCCTTCTCTCCCTCCTCTCCATTCATCTCCTACATCCACACCCGTTCCCCAGTCCCTAGTTGGAAAGTTTAATCAAATCAACTCTGACACGGCTTCAGGGAGTGAGTTGAACTATGGGTCCCACCCACTAGCCCTGTCACTTTCTAAACTTTCTAACCCTTACCCTCCTTGGAATGTTAAACCTCTTCAGGGCAAGGACTATTTCTGCTTTTGAATTTGTATCCCCAGAGTTTACCTCCAAGTCTGGCAGAACTTGGCACACAGTAAGTCACTTAATTAATGCTTTTTTTATTCATCCATTTCTTCTCCAAGTCCTCATTGTATACTTTAGTCCTAGGGGATTGAGGAAGAAAGAAATGGGAAAGCTAGATTCAGCTTTGGAGCTGCTGTGAGATAGAGATGTTGTTCAGTCATTTTTCAGTCATGTCTGACTCTTTGTGACCCCGTTTGGGATGTTCTTGGCAAAGATACTGACGTGGTTTGTCATTTCCTTCCCTAGTTCATTTTCTAATTGAGGAAACTGAGGCAAACCGGAGGAAGTGACTCGCCCCAGGTCATGTAACTAGTTAAGTGTCTGAGGCTGGATTTAAACTCATGAAGATGAGTCTTCCTGATTCCAAGCCCAGTGCTCTATCCACTATGCCACCCAGCTGCCCCAGCTAGATAGATAAAGCATTTATTAAAGTCTTACCATGTGCCAAGCACTGTGCTAAACACAAAATACAAGCCAATAAGTCACCGATCTCTAATAACTAACACTCTAATAAAAGACCACACACAAAGGTGCTGGAAAGGGGGGGGGGCTGCACTTGGAGAGATCCTGGGGAAGCACCGTGGATGTTTGGGCCCATGAAAACTCACCTCTCAGAGCCAGGGGTTCCAAAGGCGGAGTCCAAGGTAGGTGAGAACAACAGAATGTTGAAATGACCTTTTGGAAGTGGCTTGAAGATCTGGGCCCTGGCAAGCCAAGGCAACAGCACACCTGTCAGAGCAGGGGCGTGTGTGGCATCACCTCACATTCTGTCACCCTCTAGAGACACCCCCAGATCCCCTATCAGGGGAACATACAGGCCAGAGCAGGGAGACACCTGTCCTTTGTTCCAGGGAACAACCAATTAAGTCTACAGTTAATGGGGCCAGGTGGGGAAATCAATCTGTAGTGGACAGAGCTCCAGGCCTGGAATCAGGGAGACTTGAACTCAGACACTTACTGGCTTTGTGACCCTGGGCAAATGGCTTAACCTGTAAAATGGGGGTATTAATAGCACCTAGGGGCAGCTAGGTGGCACAGTGGATAGAGCACTGGGCCTGGAGTCAGGAAGTTCCAATCCGGCCTAAGACACTTACTAGTTGTGTGACCCTGGGCTAGTCACTTAATCCTGTTTGCCTCAGTTTCCTCATCTGTAAAATG